CAGAGTCTGGTGTGCTGCTGAACAGGTGATTCATCCAAGAATCTAAAACATGCTGGATAACGGCTCTCAAGGACCAGGATTGCCCACCCCTGTTTTAGACCAACGTCTGGTTTGCTTCACACCCAACGACTGTATAGATATTTACGAAACATCTGATTGGAACCCAGAAGTTTAAACAAGAAGAAAAGATGTTCACTTTAAATTTAAAGTTCCGCCCTCTTTACGTAAACTAAAGGCAATATTTTTCTGATACAAATAGACAAAAATACATGGCCTCCCCTGGCCACCCCTTGCTAGCAACACTGATTCTATCATCCCATTATTCTTAGTATTCATCAATAACTATATAAAAAAATCTTATAATGGTTTAGCTCAAGGGGGGTTTATCCTGTGAAAATATGTGAATAAATAAAATAAACAAATAAAATTGGTTCTATTTGATTGACGTAAACAAATCTTAACCATTTTTATAGAAATCTCCCAACAACAAAACAGATGCCCCAGTTTTTGAGGGTTAAGAAAATAAATCAGACGCCACATGGGACTGGAGGCAGGATGGGAGGGTTATCAGCTGAGCATCTGTTTTTTTATTACATGAATCAGGAGTCCTGCAGAGATGAATGTTTACTCTCTTAAGCCAGATTAGCAAAAACAAACATTACGTGTGATAAGAAAAGTCAAATAAATACCCACCTTTATGTAAAATCGGACTCTACCCTTAAAAACATTTTTAAGGGCCCCGCCAGGCCAAGCCTGCACCCTTACAACGTTTACATCAAAACAAGCGGCTCGACTGCGGAAGGTGTGCTTTTGCTTTTCTTAGAGTTTTTATTCATTTGCAATTGGCCTGTCAATTAATTATGTAAACAATCAACAAATTAGGTTGTTAATTAGTTAATTATGCATAATTGTATGGTCACCCCAATATCATTACCACACATGTTACATCAAAAAAAAAAGGCTCGGCCATGGGAAGTATTGTATATCATGATCACCCCAACATAGGGCTGGGGGGTGTGGCCTAAAATCAATATCGCGATACAGTGAGGATTTCACCTCGATAACGATAAATGGATGATAACTACAGGTGTGCGCAGAAACAAAAGTTGTCCACTAGATGGGGCTGTCACATGTATCACGTTGGGTCAAATTTTTTACCTGACTCAAGGTGGTACAGCTTCTTAAAGGGACAGGAACTTTGCCAGTCTACACATATTTTCATTTTTTTTAATTATCAAAATTATTATCACTGGAAAAATTATATCGATAAAAGTCAGAAATTTTGATAATGATACATTTTCGATTCATTGCCCAGCCCTACCCCAACATCACCCCGACATCATGATTCTGGGCCTCTATAACGCACGGCTACTATCTTGTGCCAGCGGGCAGGTCACTTTTAAATTTTCCTTCAAGAATTTTCTAGTTTTTAATAAAAAGACATTTTAATGCATCTATGTGCCACGTTTTAGATTTGTGAGGAAATTTCTGAAAAAAGACGAATATTCATGAAAGCACTGCAGCCTTTGGAGGACTACATGAGAGCATCTCTTCAGCACAATCATTTGGAAATACGGAAACATCCTCTGCTAAAATAAAACAGGACACATCATCATTCACTCTCGGAATGACCACAACCACAAATGCAGGCAGCAGGAGGATGGAAACCATGAAGATGAGCACATCATTAACCGTCATCAGCCCTAACCTTTTGCTTGACTTGAATTAGATGGTATGAAGTTAATAATAAGCAAAGATAAATTAAAGATGTAATTTGCAGTTGAACGGTTTGCAGGCTTGATTAGGATGTGTTCATGGCTGACTGTAATGAAAGCTTTCAAAATGAGAAATCTAAGCAGTCTGAATGGGAGGAGGTTATTAAAAAACAACTGAGAAGAACGTCTAGGTTTATTTTAGGATAAATTTGAAGTTTTTACAGAATAGCAAATGAAATCAGGCTGACCTTTATCTAAATGCTCTCCAACTGCTCATGTGCTTTTCTTTGTGTCCATCTTCTTCAATAAAAACTTGATTTTCTATCGCGTGTTGTTTTGTGTATTTTTATGGGTTTTGCAGAAACTTCCTGCATCTTTATTCAGGTCGCACTCTGACCTCACATTCGCCCGTCCAGCTTTTTTTTCAGTTTCTTATTCTGTTGACTGACTTTGCTGTCATGGATATTGTTTTGCAAACCCATCAAGACAAAATTCACACAAGACGAATATTCAAAGTTCATTGGAATGGCCAGTTGGACCAGCTGTGTTATTTAGAGTTTATTGATGCGCCCACTCGGTCACGATGGCTCCCCAGAAGGTCATGTTTTGTGTAAATGTGTTTTTTTAAGCACAAAAACACATTTTGTTCAATGCTTTTAAACTGAAAAGCTGAAAATGCTGCCGTGTTGTGTGGCTTTAGTTTGTATCAGTTCAGTCCTGAATATGAGTGACGATGTTCCAAACGTAACAGAGCTTTTAAAACAGCACATTTAGTAACCAGCTGTTGTCGTTTCAAAAGCAAATAAGCTTTCACCATTCATTTATTCATCCTGTGCTCCAAATGTGTTTTAAGGGCAGCATGCATGGTCGTTATGAATGCAGTTGTGATACATTTATAATCTGGTTTGACATCATCTCGCTGGTATAAGAAACTAGGACTTCCCGTTTCCCTCCTTTTATGCGTGTGGCATTTCTAAAATTGGGAACATCCTGTCCCAAAGTGACACAGAAAACTAGTCCATCCATTTATTACTTCTAGGCTTGACTGTTACAAATCTTTTTTGGAAAAAAATTTGTCTCCAGCTGATGCCAACGTTTGCAGGAGGATAAATTATATTTTTCTAGTTTTAGCATCACCTCGTTGAGTATTCGTAAGACCCCAAACTAAATCTTATTTACTAATTTAGAAAACTGTGAAAGATCATGCTTAATCCTATATTAAAGTTAAAGTCCCAATAGTCATCACACGTTGGTGAAATTACATCTCCGCATTTGACCCATCCCCGTGGGGAGCGGTGATCTGCAGCAACTATTTGGTGCTTTAACCCCCGATCCAACCCCTTAAAGGAGAGTGTCCAACAGGGAGGCATTGGGTCTCATTTTTAAAGGTCTTTGGTACCCGACCGGGATTTGAGCCCTATTCTGTCAGTCCCAGAGTTGACACTCTACCACTAGACCACTGAGAAGGTAAAGATTGTATTATTCCATATTTTCTTGGCTTTCAAATTGCAGGCTTACCTCTGGTTCCTATAGCTTTTAAAGGGGGCATTTTGTGTAAAACTGACCTTTTGCATCTTTTTGTGCTGTCATCTTCTGTTAGGAATTACTGTATGTGCTTGAAATGAGTCGTTTCAAAAAGTCCCTATTTGTGATGTCACAAAGCTGATAGTTACTTCCATGAAAACAACTGCGAATCCAAATGTTGCATAGACTCAAAAACGATCCAAATCAAGCTCATAAGATCCCGGACAAGCCCCCCATTCATGTTACAACCTGGCAGCAACATGATGTGTAGGTTGAACACAGTTTTTAGACTTTAGAAACTTTATTAGCTGTAGCTGTCCAAAGATCTCACCAGATCAGCAGAACATGACAGCAGCCCCTGTTGAAGTGAATGTTTGATGTACCTTTACATTTCACGACATGATCTTCTGAATTTGGTATTATTAAGCATCGTTTCAATTGGCTTGAATTTGGACCTGATGTGATTTGGGTTTATTTTCTATTTGATGCTTTAAACATGACTCGTGTTATGATTTGGTGCCATTTAAATGATCTGAATATATTTAATTATTTTAAAAAGTCTTCCCTGGAAAATTATGTCATGTGGACATCAGCTTCTGTTCACCTCAGCCATGTGCAAATGCATTTAGGACACCCACATATTGTGTTCTAACATTTCTTCATTGTTATGTTCAACGTTTTAAATGTGCTCCTCAACCTGAGCTGCTGAGAATATTTCTGAATATAAAAGATCACAACAAATGCCCGATACGCAAAAACTCTCAGCTTCTGAACATCTGGATGAATATGCAAAACAAAGGAGTGAACCCAAAAAGAGGTGAGCAGCAGAGCCCAGCGTGGCCAATTAGCTTCCAGACTGAGACTGAGAGAGAAGTGGAGGTCTGTGTGGACCTTGTTAGTGCCAAGGCTCTGATCTCTTGTTCCCTCGAGAGGTTTTGGTGATGTGGACAGAGCTAGGGAGCAAGGAAAATGTAGTGTTGGTCATGCTTTACCATCAAACACAGACAATGTCACAGCAGAGTGTCTGCTTTGACAAATAATGCCTGCAAATGCAGCACCCATTAGTACGGAACAGCTTTCTGCACCACATATGTGTCATTTATAATAATGGTTCCATATCGCACGCAGGCCCACACTCCCCCCTGCTGGTGCACGACGGGGAAAATACTCATCCAAACGCGTCCTACCATATGGGAATCTGATGCATCTGCCCAAGTGCAACCTGCATTCTTCTGCTGCACAAAAGGCATGCAGGCGCGTGCCTCCTCCTGCTTTTCAAGCATGCATGATCCTTTCCTCCCTCTAATTATCCTTAGGGACACGTGTTCCTTCACGCCTCACACCCAAATGGCTGCAGAGACAGATAAATAACTTTTAGAACGACACAAGTTTAAACAAAAGTTTTGCAAACAAACTGCTAAGTAGAACCTTCTGCACGTGAGTGTTTTAAAACAAAATGGTGAATTGTGTGTTTTGGCACCTTTTTGGGGGCATGTGCGTCTAAAAAAGAAGCCACCTGTAGATGTTTGTTTCCATGCATTAACATTTCTATCTAAAATTGTTCTCGGATTGAAGACAAGCGACCATCTGGCCGTTGTTTGCTGAAGTGTCACTTCTCACCTTTCCACCGTGGCTCACTTTTGGGGGCGCGTCAAAGTTCACCCTGGCACGGGATGCTGCGCGCTGATAAAAAGAAGGTTTTTCCAGTCAGTCCCACATTCCTGAGTGGATCTGACGCGGAGCGGATCCGCGCAAGGAGACATGGAGAACAAACCCAGCTCCGGGCCACAGCCTGGCTCTGATGGAGACAACCCAACCCAGGAGCGCAGCTTCTGGAGACCGTGGAATAAAAACGCGGACTTACCCAACAATCATCCGGTGAGATTTTGACTTATCAGCGTTCACAAAACTTGGAATTCAAACATGCATCAAGCAAATGGGACGTTTTAAGACTTCTATACATGAAACCCATCTTTTTGAACCTCCAGAGTCACGCATTGCGCGAGGATCTCAACACGCAACACAAGATCCAACAAGTCATCCATCCAGTAAAGTAGGAGACCTGTTATAAACAATACCAGGAACTTTGCACCTTGTTTTGGTTCAAGCATTAATTAGTTCATTTGTCTTACATCTGAAGGTTGTTCTGGCCTAAATCGAGATGTTTCGATTATCTTTACCGGGACGCAGAAAAGCTTTTACGCAACTATCCATTCCAAGCGACCATCTGTCCTTATGAAGACTCCAGCAGCGACGAGGAAGATGAGGATGGTGATGAAGAGGAGCCAGAAACAAAGAAAAACTAAACTTTAAATAACTCTTCATATTTAAACTTAATTTATTCCTGTAAATAACCTTCACGTATATTTCCAATAACCAACCTTTAAGCATAAGTTATTCCTGTTGTGTGTTTCCTCTACATTTTATCATATTATTTTAAATAAATATTTCTTTCTATGACATATTTCTGTATATTTACTTTATTTATAATACTGAAAATAAACCATCCAGTAAATTGATCTCTTATGTCTTCATTTAAAAATAAAACTTAAAAATACACCCTGACAAACTATTTTAACACAATATTAAATCAAACAATATGAACACAAATGTTGTGAATTATGAATTATTTTGCCCTTTTTTGCTTTTACTTGAGTTAATATGAATGTGTCGCTCCTATGAATACCGTAAATCCTCTAATACAGGCCCGGGTCTGTATTTTACTCAAGCTCATCAAGCTCCAGGCCTTTATTGGAAGGAGGGCCAGAATTAGAGGCAGGCCTCTATTTCTATTTGAGCAAAATGAACTAATGGTTCGCTGGAGTTTTTGACAATTAAAATTGCGCTCACATTTTCAAAGTTAAACACATTTCTTTTAACAACGGTAGTTTCTGCTTCAGCCATCTCCCCCCTCCCCCTGTGCAGCGGCCGCAAACTCACTGATGCGCCTGCAGCCTCTCAGAGATGCTGCTGCTCTAAACATTAAAATAATTATTTCATTTTCTGTTCCTCACTTCTGATTACCTTCAATGGTGTCTGTTTGTTGCAACCACCAGGTACAAAAACTAACTTGTTTTTATTTGACTATTTTTCTGTCCTGCCTGTTTATCATCTTCCTGCATCTCCTCTCAATCCTAAAGAAAAACTGCTACCTGGGTTCATATATATTCACCTTATGAGTTACCTTTGAACTGCAGTTCTAAAAGATCTACCGACCACAAAAACAGCGGAGTGCGTGCTGCTCGCCGGCCGCATCAGTGAGGTGCGTCATCGGAGGACAAAACAGGTGATGCGCCCCGATCCACAGCAGCAAAAAGCATCAGGCACAAATAAAAGACAGAAAACATAAAAGGAAATGAGCCGACATGAATGATCGCGTGTTAAATTTGTTTTTGAGGTGGCGACACCTGATTTGATAATGTTACTGTGGCCGTGCTCAGGACGCAGATGTCTGGAGCGCGTCAACAATCAGAGCTTTGCATGCGCAAGCTGGTTATGGTTAGGATGGGGTGAGGGGAATGTTAAATTGCAAGAGGGTAAACGTCACAATTTGGTTAAATGTCCGTTTTACGGCGGGTGTCAGTACCGACGCTCTGGCACAGCGCGTTGCCTCTCGACGCGCAGGAGCTCGTCACCTGCTGACAGCAGGCTGCTGTCTTTTCCGTGGACTGCATCTTGCCGGTCATTATCACGTGACAGCGACTAGTCGATGACAGGCATAAAAAGTCACTATAGTGAAGTCGACTAGTTCATACAACCCCTACTACTGCTCCCCAGAGTGTTCTGCAGCATAATCAGCACGTTCTCTTTGAACTTGATATCAAATTTTCGCCTCCTCTTCGTCTCTGCATGGTTAAAGTTACCCTCGCGGTCTATCACTGGCAAATCAAAAGTGAGATGGATGACACAACCGCCCCCCGTACTTGCTTGTTACCACATTCCACCCGGCCACAATAAAAAAACGGCCATTATTCACCTCCGCCGACTCCGACACCGGCCAAAATGTGATACCCGGCCGTTAATTGAATACAGGCCAATATTAGAGGATTTACGGTAAATGCAATGCAATAAAGTGGTGAGAAGTGATAGGTGGAGGGTGAAAACCAGCCAGGACAGCACAAATTTGGCTCAAATGGATGCAAAAAAACCAACTTGATGCAAAAACTCCATGAGTATCCTTTATATTTTATTTGTGCACATCAAATAATTAGTCAGCCATTAGTGAGGAAAATGTTTAGATGCAGAATAAAGGTGAAAAAGAAAGATTGAAGCAGCTGAAATGAATACTGTTTTGAGATCACGTCATTTTGCACACCAGAGTTAGAATAATTTACAATTAAGTCAATTCTAAAATTCTAATTGCACATCAGTGCTGCCATACTCTGAGAAAGGATTGTGTGCTTAAAATACAGAAATACAGAAAGCATTTTACTGCTTCATATATTTAAATGTGTTATTTCTCATATGTTTTGCAGCTATAAAGTTAAACACATAAAGGCTGTTGAATAAACTTTGGATCTTAAATCAGGCCAGTTGAACTTTGAATAATGAGACAGCCTTTCTTGCCTTTGTGTGGGAATTTCTCGTTTTGCCTTTAGGTGTTTTGCAGAGTGCAAAGTTTGCACCCCTTCTTCTCCTGCCCGGGGTCACAGCTCTGCTGCTTTAGAGTTTTATCAACCTCACTGACTGAGTTTCACTCACTTCCTAAGGGCTGCAGGTGAAAAAAAAAACTGAGTTAATGTTAAAGTCAGAGCGGTGGTAAACTTTTCATGTCTTTTGGAGATTTTTGGGACTTTCCCATGCATTGGTGTTAAAGCCACAGCGTGTTGTTGGCGTGACATTTACTCACCTTTTGGAGGTCTGAGCTAAAGCACTCAGTAATTAATAATTCTGCCAACATTTACAAGAGGGAACGTTTGTGGGTCCTGGTCTAAAAACCTCTATAAAACCACACGATAACCATCATGTTTGGGGAATGAGACTTGGATTATACAGTTAGCATATCTTTAAACCGTGCAGAACTTCAACATTCATCACCAAACAGCAAGCGACAAACATTCTCTTATATTTATGTATAAACATTAAAAGTGTGATTTCTTTTGCATGGATCAGATCTAAATTGCCATCACACTTTATTTGTAGCGTTTTCCCCAGTTTGCAGCAGCTAATGTGCCAACATGGCTTCTGGCGTCCCCCGTGTGAGTTTCTGCCACACGTTGTGGTGCGATCGCAGACACCAACCAGGTGACAAACCAACAAACTGTGACTAAAGCTAATCAGCCGGTTTCCCACATTCACACCTCAGTCTGAACACACTGATGGAACGACTGCATCCAGTCTGGCTCATTATATCATTTATAATCTCTTTATTGTTAACGGCGCTGTGAATCAGAAAAAGTGAAATTGTGTGTTTTCATAAAGGGTTAGGGTTAGGGGAAAATCAACATTTAAATCCAGGTGTTACTCAGATTACCAAATCTAACCTTTTACTAAAAAAGTGATGCTTGATATTTTTTTCAATTATTAATTTGAGCTTAAAAATAAAAACCCAAATTTTGAGTTTATTCTTCAGGAACGATACTGTACTATACCATACCATACTAAACTTTTCACGTTGTGGCAGGTGGAGGTCGAACCCAAAGTGCAGAACCCAGAACGACTCGAGGCAGGAGTGGAGCGGTAGTTGAAAGTAAAATCCTTTATTTAGGATGATGGGTAAATATCCCAAGGGGCAGGAGGCCAAACCAAAAATCCAGAGAGAACTGAACTACAAAAACAAAGCTCATTCATGAGCAAGAACCTGGACTTCCTGAGGAGGACAGAACAACGCTGACAAAGACAATGGACCAACAAACAATGAGGGACAAGACAGGGTTTTTAAACACAGAGGGAAGCAAGCAGGGGAACAGGTGACAGGTGTGAGGAGTGAGGTCTAGAGGGGAGACAAGTGCCATCAATAAACTAAATGGGAAAAGAACTAAGCAGAGGGCAGATAAACCATAACCTATAAAACACTAAATAACTAAACCTAAAGACTAAGGACTAATACAAACCAAATAGGAACTACAAGGGAGTGATTAGGAGGAAACATGAGGGAGGCCTAGAGAGAGCTGGGGAAGCATAAGGACACACAGAACAAAAGGGGACACATGAGGGGAACGCAGAACATGACAATACTATACTATACTATACTATACTATACTATACTATACTGTATTGTACTGTATTGTACTATACAATTCTTTACTATAACATACTATACTATAATATGCTATAAAATGCTATAATATATAATATACTATACTATAATGTAATACAATATAATATAATATAATATAATATAATATAATATAATATAATATAATATAATATAATATAATATACCTTTAGATGGCAGAAGATACCAAAAAGTGGATTTTCGGATTTTCAGGTAGAGTTGGTGTAAATGTGTAATGATGACACCAGGGGGCGGTGTCGTACTTGTATGAACTAGCAACATAAAGCAAGACTGGAAACTGTTTAGAAACACTTTTCTTTCATGTTTTCGTCAATAAATAATTTTTCATATGGTTGATTAAAAATAATATTTTAAATAATCTAAAAAATGCCAGTAACCATAACATTAGTGTTCGAATGATTAAGTAAATCAATACGATTTGTTTGTATTTATTTGTTTTTTTAATGTTTTACAGCCCATCATTTGATACATGGATTTATTCATTATAATTCTACAAATATTTTATAAACGTTGCCGTTGAGGAAACACTAAAATCACATTTAAGGAAAACTTTCATTGGTAAACAAATTCTGAATGATGATGGGATTTAGAAATCACTTAATTGATAATAGTTAGTTTTACAAAATTAATAAATCAGCTTAATACTTAATAAACATTTGTGTTTTAAACACATTCAGTATGTATACTGTATTTTTCAGCATATTTCAAACATTTGGTTTTTTTGTCCTGTTGTCCAGTTTTTGCTTTCTTGAGACTTTTTGTCTCGCTTATGTAAAAATAAATTAAATTGAGCTTCAAAAAACACAAATACAAACATAAATAAATAACAACACAGGATTTCCAGATCTTTGCACAGCTCTCCATCCTGATGTTCACTTAGGATTCACAGGATTCCTTCTGAAACGTGACACATAAATGCCACCGTGGATCAGAAAGCCCAACATGAAGCAGGAATCTGTTTGTGGATCGAGCCCAGTCATCCCTCAGCTGAGTGAAAAAACCCAGACCCCCCCATCTCAGAGATATAGCTGTTGTGCTTTTCCACACCTCATCTTACCCTCCACTTAA